CAGGAGAATGGCGTGAACCTGGGGGGGCGGAGCTTGCAGTGAGCCGAGATCGCGCCACTGCACTCCAGCCTGGGGCACAGAGCAAGACTCCGTCTCAAAAAAAAAAAAAAAAAAAGAGAGAGCCTCCCTTCCCCATGAGACTGTTTAAGGAGAGAAACCATTAAGAGACCGTCACCTAGAGAGGAGACCTCCATCCTGCAAGAGAGATTCCTGGATAGAGAGGGAAAGCTGTGGCCGGGCACAGGGGCTCACGCCTGTAATCCCAGCACTTTGGGAGGCCGAGGCGGGTGGATCACCTGAGGTCAGGAGTTTGAGACCAACCTGGCCAATATGGTGAAACCCCATCTCTACTAAAAATACAAAAGTTAGCCGGGCGTAGTAGCATGTGCCTGTAATCCCAGCTACATGGGAGACAGAGGCAGGAGAATCACTTGAACCCAGTAGGCAGAGGTTGCAGTGATCAAGATCATGCCCACTGCACACCAGCCTGGGCGACAGAGCAAGACTCCATCTCAAAAAAAAAAAAAAAAAGAGGGAAAGCTGTCTGATCAAGGTAGAGACATCCCTAAAACTCTTCAATAGGTTCTTTGAAGCCCCCTTCCCAGGGCCTGCTGGCCCCATCCCCTCTGGACCTCCAGTAAAGCTCCCTTCAAATCCAGTGCCTCAAGCCCCACCCTTTGTCCCACCTCCGGACTTTGTCCTGGGGAGACCTGCATAAGCCCCTCCCACACTCTCTCAGCCTTCCCGTTCTCTACACTGGGCCTGGGATGCTCACAGGATCCACCCGTGGCTTTCTCAAGCCCCACCCATAGGTCACAAACCCCATCTACATCCCTCAGGCCCCAACTTCTACCTGCAGCTACAGGGCTCAAACCTACCTTCAGCCCACCTCCCTTGCTACTAAAGCCCCACCCCTTCTGTCAAGCCTCCTCCACCCACAGCCTTTCAAGCCCCACCTACAGCGCTTCAAGCCCCACCCACAGCCCTTCAAGCCCCACCCGCAGTCCTTCAAGCCCCACCCACAGCCCTCTCACTCCACCCCCAGGTGAAGAGTATGGCACTGCACCTGCTTCTTGGCCAGCGACTAGACACACCCCGCAAGCTGCGCTTCCCTGGGCGCTTCCTGGACGACATCACTGCCCTGGTGGGCTCTGTGGGCCTGGAGGTCATCACCCGTGTCCACAAGGTGGGAGATGCAGGGTCTCAATGTGGGAAGAAACCTGAGGGAGGACATAGAGCCAGCCAGATGGGGCCGCCAATCCTGCCCAGTGCTTCCTGGCTGTAAGACCAGGAATCTGCTTTGCTGGGTGGATCTGTTCATTCATTGTCTGTTTCTTGAGTGCCTCTGGTGTGCACAGCGAGCCAGCCAGGTGGGGGCGCCAATCCTGCCCAGTGCCTCCTGCCTGTAAGACTGGGAATCCCCTTTGCTGGGTGGATCCATTCATTCATTGTTTCTTGAGTGCCTCTGGTGTGCACAGCCCTGTGCTGGGTGTAGCAACATAACAAGAAACAAAACAGACCCAAATCCTTACCCTCGCTTTTAAGGGGAGACTTGAAGAAAGTGAGAGATCATTCCATGCAACGTCTGGGGAAGGAACGTTCCAGGCAGGGAGAATAGCAGGTGCAAAGGTCCTGGGGCAAGACCATGCTTGGGCTACCAGGAGAGCAGTAAGGATGGCTAGATTGTAGTGAATGAGGAAGGAAATGAGGGTTGATGAGAGCAGGGAAGTGACAGGGCAGATCCATTGGCCCTTAGCACAGTCAGAGTATACAGCAAGTGCTCAATAAATGGATGTTGATGTTCGGAGACCCTGACAGTGGACTTGTTCAGGCCCTGGATTACCAATTCCAGTGCCCTCGGGGGCTGGGCAGGTAATACTAATCATAAGAGTAATAATATCGAGCATTTATTGAGCACTTACTGTGTATCTAAGCACTTTATATGGATATCTTTTTTTTGTTTGTTTGTTTGTTTTGAGACGGAGTTTCGCTTTTGTTGCCCAGGCTGGAGTGCAGTGGCGCGATCTTGGCTCACTGCAACCTCCGCCTCCCAGGTTCAAGCAATTCTCCTGCCTCAGCCTCCCAAGTAGCTGGGATTACAGGCATGTGCCACCACACCTGGCTAATTTTGTATTTTTAGTAGAGACAGGGTTTCTCCATGTTGGCCTGGCTGGTCTGGAACTCCTAACCTTGGGTGATCCGCCCGCCTCGGCCTCCCAAAGTGCTGGGATTACAGGCTTGAACCACTGCTCCTGGCCTTGGATCGTATCATTAAATTTTCACAACAACCCATGAAGTTAGTATTATTGTTATCTCCATTTTACTGATGGGGAAACTGAGGCATCAAATGAATGAGTAGCTTAACCTTGTACCATATGACTGAGAAGGGGCAGAATGAGGTTTTTGAATCTGAGCCACCAGCTCCTGACCCCTCACTGTCAATACCAGTTTCAGCGAGGAAAGTGGCGCTTATGGTAGAACAGAGGGCAGATGTCCCACCTAACAGGGGTGACCATCACTCAATCCAGCCAACAGAAACCCTGCAGAAATGTGGCTCAGCTATGGCCAGATGGGCTGTTTTTTTTGTTTGTTTGTGGTTTTTTTTTTTTTTTTTTGAGATGGAGTCTTGCTCAGTCGCCCAGGCTGGAGTGCAGTGGTGCAATCTCGGCTCACTACAAGCGCCGCCTCCTGGGTTCATGCCATTCTCCTGCCTCAGCCTCCCAAGTAGCTGGGACTACAGGTGCCCGCTGCCACACCTGGCTAATTTTTTGCATTTTTAGTAGAGATGGGGTTTTACCGTGTTAGCCAGGATGGTCTCGATCTCCTGACCTCGTGATCCGCCTGCCTCAGCCTCCCAAAGTGCTGGGATTACAGGCGTGAGACACCGCGCCCGGCCGGCTGTTTTTGTTTGGAGATAGGGTCTTGCTCTGTTGCCCAGGCTGGAGTGCAGTGGTGTGATCATAGTTCACTGCAGCCTCGACCTCCTGGGCTCAAGGGATCCTCCCTCCTCAGCCTCCCAAGTAGCTGTGACCAGAGGCACAAGCCACCATAATTGGTTATTTATTTATTTATTTTTTAAGTAGAGTCAGGGTCTCACTATGTTGCCCAGACTGGTCTCCAACTCCTGAGATCAAGGGCTCCTCCCACCTTGGCTTCCCAAAGTGCCAGGATTACAAGCATGAGCCTCCATGCCTGGCCAGATTGTCTGGGAGTTTTTTGTGTGTGGTTTTGTTTTTGTTTTTATATTTGTTTTTGTTTGAGACACAGTCTTGCTCTATTGTCCAGACTAGAGTGTGGTGGCATGATATGAGGCTCACTGCAGCCTCAAACTCCTGGGCTGAAGCAATCCTCCCACCTCAGCCTCCAGAGTAGCTGAGGCTACAGGTGCATGCTACCATAACCACCTAATTTTTTTTTTTTTGTAGAGATGGGGTCTTGCTATGTTACCCATGCCAGGAGATGGCCTGGTTTCTAAGGAGAAATGGGACCTCTGGATTTGATGAGAACTTTCCAGATTTTTGAAATGGCATTCTGGCCCAGGCCAACCCTTGCACAATCGCATATGACCTCCAAGCTGGTCTCAGAGGTTCTGGCCTTGTCTCACTGGAGCCTTCCCAAAGACTGACATTCCCAGGGGCTGATCCAGATGGTGAGGAAACTACCCCAAGAAAGAGATCCAGAGAAGAACAATGCGCGTGATAATCCACTTTTTTTTTTGAGATGGAGTCTCGCTCTGTCCCCCAGGCTGGAGCGCAATGGCATGATCTTGGCTCACTGCAACCTCTGCCTCCCGGGTTCAAGCAATTCTCCTGCCTCAGCCTCTTGAGTAGCTGGGACTACAGGGATGTGCCACCGTGCCCGGCTAATTTTTTTGTTTTTGTTTTTTTTTGAGATGGAGTCTTGTTTTGTTGCCCAGGCTGGAGTACAGTGGCACAATCTCTGCTCATTGCAACCTCCGCCTCCTGGGTTCAAGCGATTCTCCTGGCTCAGCCTCCCGAGTAGCTGGGACTACAGGTGCATGCCACCATGCCCAGCTAATTTTTTGTATTTTTAGTAGAGATGGGGTTTCACCATATTGGCCAGGCTGGTCTCAAACTCCTGACCCTGTGATCCGTCCTCCTCGGCCTCCTAAAGTGCTAGGATTACAGGCATAAGCCACCATGCCTGGCTGGGTTGCAGGAATTTGACGGCCACTGAGGCTAACTTGTGAGGTCTCAGAGTGGCTCAAGAGAGTACGAGGGCAGAACAAGTACCAGCTGAGCCTTGGGCCCACATCAGCCACCTCAGTGTTCCCCAGGCTTGCCAGGCACATCCTGCCTCAGGGCCTTTGCACCGACTGTTCCCTTTACCCAGGATGCCATTCTCCCCATGGCTCTTTGTTATCCTTCAGTATCTCTGAAAATGTCACCCCAGTCTGTTAAGGTTGGTGATAAGTAATTACAGGCCGGGCATGTTGGCTCACACCTGTAATCCCAGCACTTTGGGAGGCCGAGGAGGGCAGATCACCTGAGGTCAGGAATTCGAGACCAGCCTGACCAACATGGTGAAACCCCATCTTTACTAAAAATGCAAAAATTAGCCAGGGGTGGTGGCGCATGCCTATAATCCCAGCTACTCAGGAGGCTGAAGCAGGAGAATCGCTTGAACCCGGGAGGCAGAGGCTGCAGTGAGCCAAGATTACACCATTGCACTACAGCCTGGGCGACAGAGCAAGACTCTGTCTCAAAAAAAAAAAAAGAAAAAGAAAGAAAATAATTATGGTTTTTGCCATTGAAAGTAATTGCAAAACTGCAATTACTTTTGCACCAATCTAATATTGTCTTTGAAGCACATAGAACTATCTGACTATCTGAAATTCTTGTTTATTTTGTGTCTCCCTGCCCCCCCACCCCCCCCACACACACTGGACTGAGTTGGACACGCAGCGGGGATGGCATCTGCCTCATTCACAGGGCTTGGCACAGAGTAGATGCTCAGTAAAGCTCACATTAAATGGTGCTGAGAGGCCGGGTGTGGTATCTCACGCCTGTAATCCCAGCACTTTGGGAAGCCAAGGCAGGTGGATCACCTGAGGTCAGGAGTTCAAGACCAGCCTGACCAACATGACAAAACCCCGTCTTTACTAAAAATACAAAAATTAGCCAGCCGTGGTGGTGGATGTCTGTAATTCAAGCTACTGGGGAAGCTGAGGCAGAATTGCTTGAACCTGGGAGGCAGAAGTTGCAGTGAGCCGAGATCGTGCCACTGCACTCTAGCCTGGCGACAGAGTGAGACTCCGTCTCAAAAAATAAATAAATAAATTAATTAATTAATTAAAATAAAAATAAATGATGTTGGGAGTTGATCAGTTAGGGCAGAGGCTAACTCGCTTCAACACAGTCACAAGTGATTTAAATAACCAAAGCTTATTTCTGAGCATTAAGTAGGTTATGGAGACATCACTGTGTGGGCCTGGCCCTGGCAGTTCCCCAGCACCCACCTGCTTCTGCCATGTAAGTGGCCACCTCACTTTCCCCTCAAATTCCATTGGCCAGAGTTGGTCATGTGATTCCACTGCAAGGGAGGCTGGGAAATAGTCTCTCCCCAGCTCTGAACTCTGGACAGAGAGGGCAAGAGGATCTTGCGGGGAGTCAGCCCATATCTGCCTTGGTGTCTTAAGGAGCATGGGAGAGGAAGGCAGCCTGAGGAGGGCAACCAGGAAGTCCCAGGGTCACCACAGCCCAGAGACAAAGGCGTTGGGGCAGTGATGCAGCTCCTAGGTGTGGCAGATGATCTTGACTCTGGTAAGAGTCAAGCCCCTGGCCGGGTTCAGTGGCTCGCGCCTGTAATCCCAGCACTTTGGGAGGCCGACACAGGCGGATCACGAGGTCAGGAGATCGAGACCATCCTGGCTAACTTGATGAAACCCCATCTCTACTAAAAAATACAAAAAAATTAGCCGGGCGTGGTGGCAGGCGGCTGTAGTCCCAGGTACTCGGGAGGCTGAAGCAGGAGAATGGCGTGAACCTGGGAGGCGGAGCTTGCAGTGAGCCGAGATCGTGCCACTGCACTCTAGCCTGGGCAAGAGAGCAAGACTCTGTCTCAAAAAAAAAAACCCAAGCCCCTGTGGGGGCTGAGGTTTGGGGAGGAGGTATGGCTGTGTGGGTTGACAGGCCCCTGTGTCCTCAGGATGTGGAGCTGGCCGAGCGCCTCAATGCCAGCCTGGCCTTCTTCCTCAGTGACCTTCTGTCCCTGGTGGACCGGGGCTTTGTCTTCAGCCTGGTCCGGGCCCACTACAAGCAGGTAGGAGTGGGCGTAGGCAGGGTGGACACGGCATGGATGGAAGGCGGAGCAATGTTGACATCACTGCTGGCCACCCCTCTCCTGCAGGTGGCCACGCGGCTCCAGTCGTCCCCTAATCCAGCGGCCCTGCTGACCCTGCGCATGGAATTCACCCGCATCCTATGCAGCCATGAGCACTACGTGACCCTCAACCTCCCCTGCTGCCCCCTGTCGCCCCCAGCCTCGCCCTCCCCCTCTGTGTCCTCCACCACGTCCCAGGTGGGCTGGCTTCACTTCTGCCTCCTCTCTTTGACCTACAACCTCTCACCTTCAGTCCATCTCCTATGGTTCCCTCATCACTGTCCCTTTCACGGTGGACCACTGCCTAGGTGAATTGATCCCTTATGTTTGACTTTTGACCTCTGACCCTTCACCTCTCCTGTCATTCTCAGCAGTTTCCCAGAAGGACTAACTTCTGATTTCTCTCCCCTAAATCCTAACTCCCAGCCCAGTGTTCCATGTGCTATTTCTCAGTCCTCTGACTTTTGACCCCATGCCCTGTTACATCACAGATGGGTTAACGTCCGCCTCTCATTTCTGGGCTTGAAACCCATACCCGCTGTCACCTCCAGATGACTTAACCTCAGTCTCTCATCTGTGGCTATTAGCACCATGATTTCTGTCACCTCCAAGATGGCTTTAATGGTGACCTCCCCCTCTGACCCTTGACCGCTGGCATCCCCCATTTTTACCCCACTCTGCAGAGCTCCACCTTCTCCAGCCAAGCCCCGGACCCCAAGGTGACCAGCATGTTCGAACTGAGTGGACCATTCCGGCAGCAGCACTTCCTAGCTGGTCTCCTGCTGACAGAGCTGGCGCTGGCCCTTGAACCTGAGGCTGAGGGGTGAGCAGAGGTCCTGTCTAGCCCCAGGGCAGGTAGGACATTTCAGGAGCCATGTCCACCCTGTCCTGAGCACCCCATTACCCCACAGGGCATTTCTGTTGCACAAGAAGGCCATCAGTGCTGTGCACAGCCTGCTATGTGGCCATGACACTGATCCCCGCTATGCAGAGGCCACCGTGAAGGCTTGTGTGGCTGAGCTGTACCTGCCGCTGCTATCGATTGCACGGGACACCTTGCCACGGCTGCATGACTTTGCTGGTCAGTGGGCCAGGGGAGGATGGGCTCACATGACCCAGGGACTTGGTCACAGGAGGCGCAGGATAGTAAAGGTGGGAGAACACAGTCAGGGATATGAGTATAGGCATTAGGATTAGCAGAGCAGGTTAAAGTGCTAGGACAGACTAGTCAAGTTATAACATCTCTGAGCCTCAGGTTTCTCCCCTGTAATGGGGACAGTAATAACACCAACTACTTCATAAGGTTATGTGAAAATGTGCGGGGCTGTAGTACTGAGATACTGTCAGCCTACAATAGACGGGAAATATTATTGTACCATTTATTCTTTTCTTTTTTTTCTTTTTCGGAGATGGAGTCTCACTCTGTCGCCCAGGCTGCAGTGCAGTGGCACGATCTCAACTCACTGCAAGCTCCGCCTCCCAGGTTCACGCCATTCTCCTGCCTCAGCCTCCCAAGTAGCTGGGATTACAGGTATCTGCCACCACACCCAGCTAATTTTTTGTAATTTTAGTAGAGATGGGATTTTGCCACGTTGGCCAGGCTGGTCTCGAACTCCTGACCTCAGGTGATCCACCCCCCTCGGCCTCCCAAAGTGCTGGGATTACAGGTGTGAGCCACCATGCCTGGCCGTGAGGGAAGACTTCTGAAATTTGAGACAGGGACAGCACTTACCAAGGCTTTATCTTTTTCTCCCTCTGTCCTTCCCTGCCAGAGGGTCCAGGTCAGCGGTCAAGACTGGCCTCAATGCTTGACTCAGACACAGAAGGCGAAGGGGACATTGCGGGTACCATCAACCCCTCTGTGGCCATGGCCATTGCTGGTGGCCCCCTAGCCCCTGGCTCCCGGGCCAGCATCTCCCAGGGGCCGCCAACGGTGAGTAGGGAGGCTTGTCCCCATAGACATCATCCCCTTTGAATGGGAGAAGCCAGGTATCAAAATACAGATTGGCCAGGATTCATCTCACATGGAGAAAATGGAAATTGACTTTGATTCCTCTCTGGCCCCAGGCTTCTCGCGCAGGCTGTGCCCTCTCTGCTGAGTCAAGCCGGACCTTGCTGGCGTGCGTGCTGTGGGTGCTGAAAAATGCCGAGCCGGCGCTCCTGCAGCGCTGGGCCACTGACCTGACACTCCCCCAGCTGGGACGTCTCTTGGACTTGCTGTACCTCTGCCTGGCTGCCTTCGAGTACAAGGTTCGAGGGTGTCGGCAGGAGATAATGGGGGAGGCAGGCTAAAGATGTACCCAGGGACCCAGGGTGCTGCAGGCTGAGTGGGAAGGGGTGAACTGTCTTTGTGCAGAGGACTCTGTGGGACTGAGAGTAAAGGGGTGGATTGTTTCTGTGCCGAGGCAAGGAATAAAGTCAGAAATGCCTTTGTGAATAGAATTTGGAAGGTGGAGGCCAGGCACAGTGGCTCATGCCTGTAATCCCTGCACTTTGGGAGGCTGAGGCAGGTGGATCACCTGAGGTCAGGAGTTCAAGACCAGCCTGGGCAACATGGTGAAACCCTGTCTCTACTAAAAATACAAAAAATTAGCTGGGTGTGGTGGCGGGTGCCTGTAGTCCCAGCTACTCGGGAGGCTGAGGCAAGAGAATCGCTTGAACCTGGGAAGCAGAGGTTGCAGTAAACTGAGATCATGTCACTACACACCAGCCTGGGCAACACAGTGAGGCTCCATCTCCGGAAAAAAAAAAAGAAATTTTTTTAAAAAGGCCTGGTGCAGTGGCTCACGCCTGTAATCCCAGCACTTGAGGAAGCCAAGGCAGGCAAACTGCATGAGTCCACGAGTTTGAGACCAGCCTGGGCAGCATGGTGAAACCCTGTCTCTACAAAAAATACAAAACTTACCTGAGCATGGTGGCACATGCTTGTAGTCCCAGCTACGGAGGTGGCTGAGGTGGATTGCTCGAGCCCAGTAGGTGGAGGTTGCAGTGAGCACTTTTTGGTAAGTGCTAAGAATTTAGAGGAAAAAGGTAAACTGTCTTTAAGCACAGGGGCCTGGAGGTGAGAAAGAGCATAAAGAAACGGATGGGGCCAGCCAAGGTCCCACTGAAAAGAGCAGAGTCAACCTTGAACCCCAGTTCTCTGTCTCCCCGCAGGGGAAAAAGGCCTTTGAACGCATCAACAGCCTCACATTCAAAAAATCGCTGGATATGAAGGCACGTCTAGAGGAAGCCATCCTAGGCACCATCGGAGCTCGACAAGAAATGGTTCGGCGAAGTCGTGGTAAGAGGGTAATGTAGCCACGTGTCCCCATCCCACCAGCTGCTCCCACTTTGTGTGAAGGGACCCCATGAAGGGGGCCATCCCTAGCTTACTTTCTGCCTCACATTTCCTGGAGAGAAGTCCACGCGTCATCACCGTACATGTGCGCCTGTGCGTCCCCATCTGTCACTCGTGTCTGCCCCGTGCGTCCACCTGGCAGGCTTCTGCTCCACCCAGTGCCCTCACGGGTCAGCCCACCTGAATATCTTCATGCCTGTGCATTTCTCCTGATGTTCACGTGTGCCCTGTGTTTTTACGCATCTGTGATTATGTGCTCATGCGTCTCAGAGAGGAGCCCATTTGGGAATCCAGAGAACGTGCGCTGGCGGAAGAGCGTCACACACTGGAAGCAAACCTCAGACCGCGTGGACAAGTAGGTGTGGGCAGGAGGGAGTTTGCTGAGTTCAGAACAGTTCAGGCCGAGGCGGGAGGTTTGCTTGAGTCCAGGAGTTCGAGACCAGCCTGGGCAACATAGTGAGACCCTGTCTCTACCAAAAATTTAAAAATTAGCCAGGCATAGTGGCATGTGCCTGTGGTCCCAGCCACTCATGAGACTGAGGTGGGAGGATGACTTGAGCCTGGGAGGTTGAGGCTGCAGTGAGCTGTGATCACACCGCTGCACTCCAGCCTGGGCATCCGAGCAAGACCCTGTCTCAGAAAACAAAAACAACAACAAAAAACAACAGCTTCCAGAGAGCCGGAGCCCCCTGGGTTGCCAGGGGGAGGAGGGAGCTCAGCCATGGAGTAGGATCTTGCCCTGAGTGGGGCCCCAAGACCTCCCTTCCCCTTCCAGGACCAAGGATGAAATGGAACACGAGGCCTTGGTGGAAGGGAACCTGGCAACTGAGGCAAGCCTAGTAGTTCTGGACACACTGGAGATCATCGTGCAGGTAGGGCTTGATCCAGCATCTGCTTTGCGCTCTGAGCCCAACTGCAGTGCCCTGTGATCCCTGGCTCCATAATCCCTCTCCTTCCCTTTCCCTATCACCACACCTGGATTTCTGACCCCCTCCCCTCCAGACGGTGATGCTTTCAGAAGCCCGGGAGAGCGTCTTAGGGGCAGTGCTGAAGGTTGTGCTGTACAGCCTGGGCAGTGCCCAGAGTGCCCTCTTCTTGCAGCATGGCCTGGCCACCCAGAGGGCCCTTGTGTCCAAGGTAAGCACCACTCAACAACCATGATTCTTAGAAAAACAGTAGAAGCTCTAGGCTGAGCACAGTGGCTCATGCCTATAATCCCAGCACTTTGGGAGGCTGAGGTGGGAGGATCGCTTGAGGCCAGGAGTTTGAGACCAGCCTGGCCAACATAGAGAGGCCCGTCTCTACAAAACATTTTAAAATTAGCTAGGACTAGGCATGGTGGCTCATACCTGTAATCCCAGCACTTTGGGAGGCTGAGGCAGGAAGATGATGTGAGCCTAGGAGTTCGAGACCAGCCTGGGCAACATGGTGAGACCCTGTTTCTACAAAAAAATTGAGTGTGGTGGCATGTGCCTGTGGTCCTAGCTTCTCAGAAAGCTGAGGATCACTTGAGCCCGGGAGGTCAAGGCTACGTGAGCCGTGATCTTGCCACTGGACTCCAGCCTGGGCAACACAGTGAGAGCCTGTCTCAAAAAAAAAATGCTAGCCAGGCAGGGTGATACACACCTGAGATCCCAGCTACTAGGGAGCTGCTGGGGAGGCTGAGGCAGGAGGATGGCTTGAGCCTGGGAGTTGTGAGCTGTGATCGCGCCACTGCACTCCAGCCTGGGAGACAAGAGTAAAATACTGTCTAAAAAAAAAGAAAAAAAAGTAGCTCATTCATTGAGCACTTACTGTGTGCTCTGCAACTCCATGGAGCAGATTGCTTTGCCACAGTTTACAGTGGAAGGAAGGCAGGATCAGAGTGGCCAAGTCACTCACCCAGGGTCACACAGCACGGGGCTTAAACCCAGGTCTGACTCCGAACCCAGTGGTACTTGGCCAAAGAGGACAAAACACAAACCCCTACCCAAGCAGTCCTCATTTGGGCCAGTCCCCTTCTGAGCCAGAACCGGGAGGGGCTGGACAGTGTCTGTCTGGGTCCTTGTGGGCAGTTCCCGGAGCTGCTGTTTGAGGAGGACACGGAGCTGTGTGCTGACCTGTGCCTGAGGCTCCTACGACACTGTGGCAGCCGCATCAGCACCATCCGCACGCACGCCAGCGCCTCACTGTACCTGCTCATGCGACAGAACTTCGAGATCGGCCACGTGAGTGGGGGCGAGGAGGCATGGTCCACACATGGCTCGGGTCAGGGTGGCCGGCGGGGTCTCAGTGCCATACAGGGAGTGAGGGAGGGGGAGGTAGTCACTGAGCATAATGGGCAGGAGGAGGGCTCAGAATGCAATTGGGGGTCAGATGCCCTGGCTCATTCCTGTAATCCCAGCACTTTGGGAGGCTGAGGTGAGAGGATCACTTGAGGCCGGGAGTTTGAGGCTGCAGTGGGCCATGATTGTGCCACCGCACTCCAGCCTGAGCAAGAGTGAGACCTTGTCTCAAAAAAAAAAAAAAAGAGGCCAGGCATGGTGGCTCATGCCTGTAATCCCAACACTTTGGGAAGCTGAGGCAGGTGGATCATTTGAGGTCAGGAGTTCGAGACCAGCCTGGCCAACATGATGAAACCCTGTCTCTACTAAAAATACAAAAATTGGCCGGGCGCAGTGGCTCAAGCCTGTAATCCCAGCACTTTGGGAGGCCGAGACGGGCGGATACCGAGGTAAGGAGATCGAGACCATCCTGGCTAACACAGTGAAACCCCGTCTCTACTAAAAAATACAAAAAACTAGCCGGGCGAGGTGGCGGGCGCCTGTAGTCCCA